GTTTAAATGAGCAAACTTGATAAAATGTGAATAACATGCCTCCAAGCATTCTTGTTAGATCTATCAAGAACCACTGCAAGATTTATAATAATCAAAACTTATTATTAGGAGACCTAAAACTCACTTCAACTTATATAGGATTCCATAAAAGTCCCACTTATCACAAATCAAGTATAATAAAAAGGGAAAGATTGATATAGAAATGTATATGAGATGCCAATTCTATCTAAAAAGTTACACCAATAATAGTTATTGATTTCTCATCAACTCCAATAACATTCAAAAGAGCCTGAGAAAGAAGTAAAAGTAAACAACAAACAAACACAGATATAAACAATGTAGAGTCTATACTCTATACACAATTCAGAAGAAGTCCAATATCAATTGAATTTGACCATTGCTTGGGTAGAAAGCATTGTTTTTATGTATGTTGAAAGTCCCTACAAATGTAATGTAAACAAAAAATGATTGAAACTTATTTTAGTAAGGATTATTAAGTAGTACCCAACTATCTATCAAGTTTTTTTTTTTTTTTACTTGCAAAGAGTCCCACTCTTGAAAAAGGACATAATTTAGAGTCACATTGCCTAGGAAACTTTGCATTCAAATTGACATTAAGACTTCAAACGAAAGCAAATAAAAAGAACCATCCTATTTGAAATTAATAACTCTTTTTCATTTTGGGTATAAAAAAAAGAACCATCAAACAAAAAAATGATTTTTAGTTTTTCTAATTACACCAAATGATGGACACAAATACAAAAAAGAAAGCTTGCCTTGGGGACAAATGCATCAAGAAATCATCTCCAAACATGGTTGAGACAACTAATTCATCTATTTTAACCAATAAACCCCCTTTAAAAAAAAAAGAGAGAAAGAGAAAATCAATGAAAAGATCTTTACCAATTGATTAAATAAATTCAAGAAATAGATCACTCACTAATTGAGCCTTGGTAAGGATTTTTACAAAAAATTCAAGAAACAAAAACATAAAAAAATAACAACAATACAAAAACCAAAAATTCAACTTAAACTTTATCTCAAAGTCAAATAACCTAATATCTTCAACTATACATGCCAAAAAAAAAAGAAGATCTCATAATTAAAAACAATAAAAAGAAATCAAATAACAAATTCATTGCATAATTGAAAATCATCAAAATAAACAAAACTAACATGGAATCCCATCAAAAACATAATTGAGACATATATCACAATATTACCAAAAACATTGAAACAAAACATAAAACCAAACTTTTCACTCACCTTCAACCTAAACAAGAAAAATCTTCAACAACTCAAAAAAATCAAACAAAACAAAAAAAATAAACTAAGTACCTAACTAAAGTTATGTACTTAATTTGCTTGAAATGCAAATTTGATCTAAGTAATCGAATTCTTTTAGAACATCCATAATTGAATCTTACTTAAAGCACCTAGAATTGGTATTGGTAGAATAAGGGCCGCATCCCTGTGATTATTGGTTTATTTACAAGTAACGTTGCACCCCTTAAAATAGGGTAAATGTGTTAGAAGAACAGGAAGTCAGGGCCTTTAACCCATTAGATGTTGATTATAAGTAGCTCCAAGTTGTTGGAAAGCTTCAGCTTGGCCAAGATGTTCCTTGATTGGTCAATTAAGCTCTGGGTCTGTTGTTCTAACATCTACCTAAAATTACACAAACAATGAACATAAAAGTACAACTCACAAGATAAATAACTAAATAAAATACAAAGAGAAAATTTTCTATAATTACTTTGTGTTTGTAACATGCATTGTATTGTTTTCTAACTGATGGCTAAAATTTAAACCCCAAAATGAACTTTCAGTAATTTTTTCTAAATGAAACAACCAAACTAATAAACTATGCTTAATTTTTGAATTTTTTTTTCTGTTTAGAAACTAAATATAAAAGGATTATAATAAACATAAACAGATAAGAAAAGACAAAGCAGAATAAAAAAACTTACGGTGTGGTGAGTCAAATAGACATATCCATAAAATGTTAAAAAATGTTTGAGTGATAATGCTAATTTCTTTTAAGAATAAATATGGTAAAATTCCTTACCGAGGCCCAATTAGCGAGCAACCTATGGACTAATATATAAGAATGCTTAATCACTGTATCACTTATAAAAGTAAATATCTTACCAGCACAAATTCCAACAGCAACTCTTCCAATAACAGATACTTTACCATTTTTTCCCTAGAAAGGTTTCTAGAAATCAATAAGTAATGAAAATCAAATGACTAATTCCATCTAGAATTATAGTGTAAGTACCACGCTAAGATTAGGTTATGCATATTATTTTATTGCCTTATAAGTTTCATAAGCAAAAAGCTGGACAACATTGTAAGGTATGACTTTTAACACCTTAACCATTTAATATTAAACCAATATCAAAAGCAGCTAAAAAAAATCATCGCAATTACATAATCCAATTATATTATGAATTAATTATTTGAAGTAAAACTGCAATGCTACACCCTTTAATTCCTTCGCCTTCCCTATCAATACAATCATTTGTAATTTATTCTCAAATAGTCAACAACATTTAAAATATGATCAAATACAATCATTTTCCACTATGAACTATAAGCAGCTAAGTTGAAAAGAACAAGTATTTCATGCTTTTCATCTTCATGTTGACTATCTTTCGAGGAAGGCATATATAATCAGAAAAGGGAAATGCATTCATGAATAACAAAGGTAGCACTAGCATATCTCATATAAGGCAAGATCATTAATACCAATTTGTCCAGAATGTAAGACAGATCTTGATTTTAGCCACTATTTTTCATGAATTTTAAAAAGCTTTTGGGAATGTATTGTCTTTTTCTTTGTGTCATTATTTAGACATTCTAATTCTTGCCTAATCAAGTCAATTGATCAACTTAAAATCCTCACTTCTTAAATTAGGAATCCTAATCATGCATTTTGTTAATTGGAGAAATCTAGACAAAATTATCCAATTCTTAAAGGACATTGAATTAAAATTCGTTTGAAAAGAAAAAGGCTTAAAAGGAAAATTTAGTGTAGGTTCACAGCTTCATGATGAAAATAGAAGAAGAACTACCTTATATCAAACTCCTCGGACTTTTAAATTGCTTTTTAGGCGGCTTTAACTGCTTCATTATTCATACCAAGATTGAAACAAAAAAAAAAAAAAAACCCTCTGACAATAGTGGCAATTTGGGTCTTTTTTTAATAAGGTTTTTGATTTGGGTTTGTGAAAAGCTATGGTTCTTGAAGAAGTAAATGAGAGAGTAGGCTTTTTGGGGGTTTTAAAGTGGATTTTTTATCCGTTTAAAAACTCTTTATCAATTTAGAAATTGATAAAGCTGATTCTAGAGAGAAATTGAAAAAGAGAGAATGTAATGGAATGGTGTTCAGAGGTTGTGAAAAGAGGATAGGGAAGCTTCTAGCGAAAGTAGAACAACAAAAATGAAAACTTAAGGGAAAAAAAAAACAGCTGTCGATCAAAGGATCCTTAATGATCCTTTTTTTTTTTTTTATCTATAGTATAATAGATAATTTAGTTTTTCATGCTAAAGTTTTATCCTTAATGATCTTTATTTTTCTTTATTTTTGTTATGTTTGGTTGTAAGGAAAGAGAAAATAAGTGAAAGGCTTGAGAAGAAAATAGTGTTTCTTTGGTTATGTAAGATGAAAAATGATAGAAAAAAATGGATAGATTTGTTTTTTTTCCCCTTTAAATTTAATCTTTTTAAATTGAAAAAAAAAACACTTTTTCCTTTCTTAAACTAAATATTTTATTTATAATTTCACTCTTAATCTTTTTTTTTTTTTTTTAATTTTCATCTTTCTTATCAAATACAAAAAAGAAAAAATAAATTTTCTTCCTCTGTTTTTTCTTTCGCCACATGTTACCTTTTGCTCAGATTTCCTTCTTTCCTACTAAATAAAGTTAATGTTTTCAATCAAATCATGTTACCCTTGTTAAGAACCATGGGTACATTTTACTTAGTTTCATTTTGAAAGGTAAAATACTAAAGATTGATTTTAAACTTGATTTCCTAATTTATCAACTTGATTTAAAACAAACAAATTGAACTTAAAAAATGCTTTGCTTTTGTAATATTAGCATGATGGTCAAAGGCAAAGGTTATAATAGAAGGAGCATTAGATTAAGGAAATTAATAGTTTTGTACATGACATATAGAGAGATAAGGTGTTTTGAATTTTTGTAGGTAAAAATTGTAAAAGAGATTCCAACCGAAGGCAGCGTGCAGCATGAGATTCCATTCATTTTTGTAATTGCTTTTGCTCTTCCTTTTGGATGCATCCAACGCTCATATCTTTTTCCTTTTCTTACTCAGAGTCTACCATCTCCAAGTGTCATCCCTTCGTGCCTTCACATCTTTTTCCTTTTCTTCTCAGAGTCTACCATCTCCAAGTGTCATCCCTTCGTGCCTTCACAATCTCGCTCCTTTCACGTTGACCAAATGGAAATGGAAATGGAAACGATGAGAGGACTAATTAATTCATCTAACAAAAATTTATATATGATGTACTATAATATTGTTAAAATATTAAATTAGTTAATTAAAATTTTTTTAAAAAATATAAATTTTTATGTATTTAACTTATAACTAACAAAAATTAATATTTGATATTAATGAGGTGATATCATGATTCATTATTAAAAGTGTATAAACTATATTCATATAAACTCAAAATTAAAAACCTCTTGCGTCAACCCTTGACTCTTGCCTCTTACAATAATATTTCTCTTCCTGAGTGAATGGCCTGCATGTCCCTTCGCTTACATATCCAGAAAATCGAATGATTTAGTCAACGTAGAGAAATCACTCACGCTAATATATGGAACAAATTCTAGCCAACATGCTGACAAGAAAATAAGACAACCTGCCCACTACCTTTAAACAACTTCAAACTTGAAACCCTTTGTTAAACACTCCCTCCCTTTATATAAACCAAACCCCTTCTCTCTTTTCTTCCACCCAATATATCTGCAATGGAACACCACGTCCAAAGGCAGCAAAGAGGCGTTTCGGTTTCATCTTCCAAAAATGGCAAGTTCAAGGAGAGAATGGCAAACCCTAGCAGAAGCAAGTTTGTTGGTGTAAGGCAGAGGCCTTCAGGAAAGTGGGTAGCAGAGATCAAAGACACAACGCAGAAGATAAGAATGTGGTTGGGGACGTTTGAGACAGCTGAAGAAGCTGCCAGAGCTTATGATGAAGCTGCATGCCTTCTCCGAGGTTCAAATACACGAACCAATTTCGCCTCTCATGATATTCCCACCAATTCTCATCTCTCTGTGAAGATTAGAAACCTCCTTAATCATAAGAAGAGTTTAAGGCATGGGGCTTGTACAATCAACTCCAACAAAACCACGATTAAAGCAAGTACTATTGTTACTAGTAGTAGCAGTGTCAGTAAAGCTAGTAGCAGTGATAGTTTTCTATCAAACACTAGCAACGATAAGTTTCCGTGTACTTCCATGAAACAAGTCATCCAGTTGTTTGATGGTGCATACAGGCCAGATTTGAGCAATTGCGTTGGGGAACTCGAACCAGCCACATTGCAGTTTGGTCAATCCTGGCCAATCTCAACGGGGTTTGATCAGATTCCACTAAACCAAGAAGGACTGCAGTTACCACAAGATGAAGCTATTCTGTCCGGTTCAATTGATTCAGACCTACTGGAATTTGAACGCTTGATGGTAGAAAGACAGATATCAGCTTCTTTATATGCAATGAATGGAGTCAATGAGTACCTGGAGAGTGAATTTGACCTAAGCGATGCTCTTTGGGATCTTCCTACACTTTATTAGTTGTTTTGCCCAAGCTGATTCTCTATTTCTACCATGAAATTTGAAGTACATTAAGGTAGGAAGAATTGGTGCTGATTGATAATATTGAGTAACTTTGAGAATGTCTGTTTGTAGGTGGAAATTATATTAGGTGAAGTAGAAAAAACTATTTTCATTGTTGAAATGAAAATTACTAGTACTATTTCGGTTATGCTCCACAGATCATTTTTGTCTTATTCTCTTCAAGTCCATACTCTCCCTAAATATAACAATGGCCCCTAACTCGTGGAATGTGCTCAATTAACCAATTTTGATCGGTTGACATCTTACGGTGTCGAGCTTCGACCTGAGTGTATTCTTATAAATATAAAAGAAAAGGACGATTAGAGGTAAAGATAGGGGATGTTCTTCGCGTTTGCATTCCAACGTGCAAATTGTAAGGATTAGGTCAGAAAGGAAGTCAGAAAGTAGGAAAGAGAGGAATGGGATGAACTTGGTTTTATGATACCTGAGTCTTTATATTTATAAGTAAGCTAAGGAAGACAAAAAAGGGACAATTAGGACAGGGCCAATCTAAGATGGCACTGACCATGTTAGATTGACTTGATATGTCAAGTCAACATAAATGATCAAAATACCCCTGGTTGTCTACTTAAGGCTTTAAGAGGGAAAAAGATCACTATATCTTTTTTACCATTATATGCCCTTAATATTCTATTCCCCCTAGGGGTGTAATCGAGCCGAGTCGAGCCGATACAATGAGAAGCTCAAGCTTAAGCTCGACTCACAACTCACGGCTCGATACTCGGCTCGAACTCGATCGAGTTTTATTTTTCAAGCTCGAGCTCGATTCGTGATCAAATTCGAGCTACTCGAGCTTACTCGATTAATATGTAAAAATAAGCTCGATTCGTATACTCGACAAGAGTTTGATTATTTATGCTCGAGTTTGAACTAGAATTTGAAATATTTTATTAATTAAAATAATAAAAATATATTTAAATATAAAAGCTCGATTAGGCTCGTGAGTTACTCGAGTCGGATATAAGAATACTCGAATTCGGCTCGATCGATAAGTCGAGCTACTCGAGCTCGAGCACGATTCGATAATAATCGAAACGAATTCGAGTTTTCTTCAAATCGAATCCAAGTAGCTTGCTAGTACTAATGTATCATTTACACCCCTAATTCCCCCATCAAGTGGTTTGAGTATTAGATTGTCAAATTTATTATTGATGTCCCTGGTGTGGGGAAGATGGCTGCATATTTTATTGAAAGCTAATGTTGCAGAAAGAGGTCGATTTTAGACAATGACTAACTTTGAGCCACAGTCCGACCTGACAGTTATCTAATCTTATGCTTGTATTATGGAATGAGTGCATAATCGATTTAAAGGTTGTTGAGATGATAATTATTTAAGGTGATTCAAGATTATTGTTGGAGTTCGTTTGGCCATGGTGCGATTTGTATTTTCTTTTGAAAATTTAAACTTGAGCCTCAATTTTGAACCCTGAAAGTAAACGGGCTCTTAATTTACCCCTAACAGTTGTCCAATTTTGGCTGATTCAATATGAGGTTTGTCCAGTTAGGCCAGTCTGACAGTATTAAATGAAAAGAGAGGTGGTTTGAGTTAGAAGATTTAAAATAAAAAGACAAAAAGACGTCTATTCACCCGTTATTTGACACATGGCATAGATCGTGCCATCCTTTTGGCCTATAGTGCATCTATATAAAAAGGTTGGTAGGGCTTCAGCTTTTCATCTTTTACTTTATTTGCTCTCAATCTGACCTAAAATTTTTTATCTCAATAGCTTTTTTACCTTCAAAGTTTTTTCTATACTTGTTTTGGTACGTATTTCTAACCATATCTTCCGGTATGAGTTTTAAAGGGACTGAGAGCTATAAGGTAAAGCCAAAGGGAGGTCAATAAGAGCAACAAGATGACAACATGATCTCCCTATTATTAAACGTCATAACTATACAAAGACGGCCTATTGGTTTAATCCAATGCCCGAGGAAGGGTAGTGACACAATGAAAAGAATGCTTGGGCAAGAAGCGAATGAGTTTTGAGCACTAGAGAGTTGTGAGCTCAGATCAATTTTAAACTTTAAAATCCACCTGTTTTTCCTATCTCTTAGGTCGGTCCATCTTCTATGGTTGACCTTCCTTTCTCTTCGATCATTCTCCCTTCTAAGGTTCAATCTCTGACACCTCCTACCACTTCTACTCTCCCTTCTCAATTAGTTTTTCTTGATATCTCATCCTCTCCTGAGGGGTCTTCATCGCTTTGCTTTTTGTCCAAGATCGAGTTGCTTTCATCCATTATTTTTTTTAGGATCCATCTCTCACTCAAGAGTCAAATTCTTCTAATAAAAGGGGTTTTGATAAGGAACAAAAAAAAAACATCTCGGTAAAAAAAAATGATAGCAAAAGGGAGAGTCTTGTAAAACAGGATGAACTCATCGAGGTCACTGTATATACTTCGTATGACCTCGACATGATCCCCAAAGATGTGATGAGCGAGTTGAAGGGCAAAGTAAATCTCAAAAATTATCTTAGCATGTGCTTGGCTCTCGCATTCGGGCTTTAGGTACCACTTTTTTTCCTAGAGAGGGGTATAATATAATAATGCCAAACTCCTTAGACTAGATCACTGATAGACTAAAGTCACACTAGCTCTATGTATATTAGGATTTGTTCATGGTCGATCTGAGGTTTTTAGTTCATTCTTTATTCATTTCAATTTTTAATTCTTATAATTTGATCATCACTCAACTTACCTCAAATTTTGTTTAGTACATAGTCACTTTTTTATTCTTTGACAACAATTAAATATTATTCCTTCTCTCTCTATTCAGGGAGTTCTTCTTTCTTAAAAAAATCCTAGTGATAGTAGGTGATTTTATATCATAGCTCAACAAATAAAAAGATTCTTGTTAATTGCCTAAGCTTAATAAAGAATTGAAAGTTGCTTTTCTTATATCTTGAGAAACAAAAGGCTAATAAAGATAGTGAGCTCAAGGTTAAGGCTTGAAAACTAATGAGTACATTCAGCTCTTTTATGGATGTACCGTTGGCCTTTTCTATCCTTGATCTATCAGATTGAGATAAAATTTTAGATTTTACACGTAGGGAGGACCTCGTTATCGATACTCATGAGTTAACCTCTCTGAAAGTAATAAACAAGATAAAGTATTAGGGTAACTTTAAGGTAACCTTGTAGGATTTTATTTTGAATTAATTTTTTATCTAACTATTAGCTTGGTTTCGTAGATATGGCTAAAGTCGAGGAAGATTTTGACATCTTATTGTATCAACATGCCCCGAGGCCCAAAAGGGGAAAAAAAGAAAATCTAGCTCGAGGCCCTATCTTGTAAGGGCTACAAGGTGATTACTATAGCTATACCTCGCAGTTCTTCAGGTTAAAAGTTAAAAGTTAGGGTAGGTCAAGACCTATCTTCTACATTCGTGTCGACATCACCCTTCCCAACCCTTCCCAACTAAAAGATCACAGTTGGAGATCTTGTCCTCTGTTCATAAAAATCCTGAAGCTCAGGTATTTAGGCTTAGCTCGAAAAAAAATTCATGGGGTTGGAGTTTACTTTAACAGATAACCCTGCCTCTAACTTTGATGTTGCTAAGAGTTTCTGTAAGGTTACGATTCCTCTTCTTAGTGAGTATCTTCTGACCTCAGCTCGGTTTCTTGTTATTTTTTTTTTATTTTTCTAAGTCTAAGGTCTTTTTGTGCAATCTAAAAAAAATTCCCTTTTAGTTTATGGACAACAATAGCTAGGCCCTCAATCACACTTATCTTACAATGGGACATATGTTAAAGGTTGGAAAAGATATGGATGCCCTTATTGAAGAGCACAAAAAGAGCTCAGAGGCATTAAGTAATGTTAGATTAAGCTTTAGTGCGTCCCACACAAAAAAAAGACTGAGTTGAGAAAAAATATAGATGAGCTGATAGTGAAGTGAAGGCCATCTTAATGGATAAAGCATCAACCAAATCAATGGAAGAACAGGCCTAGTTGAAACTAAATGATGCTCAGGCTAACATTGCTACGAGGTTGAGGCTCAAGCTAGAGGCTTGGGACAAGATGGAGAAAGAGCTATAGATAAAGGCTATGAAAAAGTACAAAGCCTTCAATAAATGTTTTTATGTAAAGGTAAAATTCTCAAGAAAGAACTTTTTGGTACCTTTTAGCTGGCCAAAGATAAGGTATAATTCAAATTCTCTTTTCTCAACCTTGACCTCTTTAAAATTGACATCAATAATATCAGATTGAGGCTTTGTCAAAATTAGGCCAAAAAAGGTGAAAAAGAGAAAGAGGAAGAAAAGGATAAAGATGAAACCCTAGAGGTTGAGCTAAAGCTTGCCATAAGGATAGAAAAAGAGATGTAAAGATCGTCGAAACTGAGGTCATCCCTCGTGCTCCTATTGATGAGAGTAATCCTTCCATCGTTGTTGTTATTGATGAATGAATTTTATAATTTTTTACTTTTAACTTTGTAAACTTTTGACTTTGAGGTTAGCTTTTTGTAAAGACCTGTTATACTTCAACCAATGTATTTTGTTATAAAGAAATAGAAAGGAAATTTTTTATGTTTCAGCTCAATTTTAGTGTCAATTCTTTCTTATTTGATAAGTTTGAGATCGGATAACCGATCTAAGGGTAAATAATTTGGACTGCTTGGATCAAATGAACACAATTACAACTTTTAGGTCAGATTTCTTTGAATCACTTAAAGGTAAGCTTACTAAAGATAATTTAATTTATGTGTTCGCATGCAAAATAATTAAGTGCAAGCTCGGTTTGAATCAATCTTTTGATAATAGACTTGATTTGCATTTCATATCTTGAGATGGTAGTGCATTTACAAAATAATACAAGTATGGGCTCGATTTATATCTAGCCACTGATAATAAGCCTCTAAGCTGTCTATGTTTCACATTTTTGGGATGACGTTGTCATTCAAATCCTGTAATTTGTAGGTTGCAACATAAACAACCTCTTCAACAATATATAGTCTTTTTTCACATCGGAGTCAATTTGCTACATCGATCATCTAACCTTAAAGCTTTGACTCTTTTAAATACCAACTCGCCCTTCTTGATGTGTTTACACCAGACCCTTTTATTATAATAATTGGCTACCTTTTGCTAGTAGACTACAATCCGAGTC